GGAATGGACTTAGGCCAGCAATAATGTCCCAGTTAAATGCTGGCGGGCAATAATTGTCATTGTCATACAAAAAATGTAGCGCGTGCAAACATAATCTGTAGAAGCAGGTCTGCTGTGTCGAGGCATCACGGTCGGTAATGGCGCACACACGATGAATTTAACTCGGCGTAAATAAAGCAAAATTTGCCAGCTTGCGAAATCATATAGAAAGGTAACGCAACAAGCGAAACGTTGCACGAACTTCTTGCGCAGTAAAATTTAATCAGTAGAATAAAAATTATATTCTTTTATACTGTACCTGCTAATTAATGACCACTAATCTATCCTAATAACTACCGCAGAACTTCTTGATCTGTGAATAACATTTTCACTAATATTAATGAAAAAATTACGTTCCAGTCGTCCGTTTATTTCAATTAATTTTTTATATATATTATATAACTTATTATATAATATATAATAATATATAATAATAAAAATATACTTATATTTAAAGTATATACGTATAAAAATATTTATAAATATAAATATTTAAGATAAATAAATGTAAATATATAGGTATATTTATAAATATAAATATACTTATATTTATATTATATAACTTGTGTACATATAATTAAGCTCCTATTTATTTCTTATTATAATAGCATAGAGTTTCTCTGGGTTCAATTAATCTGTAACGTCTGATAATTCAAGATGTTCTTCTTGGAAATTACGCTCCTTTTTGCGACATTCAGGAAGAGGTTTATGGAGCCCTGAGGCGTTATTTTAAAGCCTGTGATGGGCAAGCAAGTGGTCTTTGCTTGGTTTTATTGGGCCGGAACCGCCTTCAGTGGGACGTGCGTGGTGAAAGCAGCAGTATTTTCACTGGTATTTACATTGCAGGTCGTAAATTGCATCAAGGAAATTGAGAAGTAATCGGAATCAACAGTAAAATCGTTTAATTTTTTTGTCACTAGAGCTGTTTTGAATTTTTTGGTGGAAAAATCGGCATGGAATATGCACTTTCTGGTATTAGATTGAACAAAATAAATTGAACAACGTATTCGATCAGATTGCAAAGAAAATTAATGTGATACCATTTCTTAGAATACCACTCATGATATCATCAAATTATGAAATAATAAACTTCTTGTCAATCAGAACGTTGTACTGAAATGTTGCTTCCATGAAATATATGTTTATCCCAGCAACTTTACAGTGGGATGTTATTATAAGCCATTGTTGATTACTCAATTGTGGTTACTAATTAAGTGATTTTCATCATTAGTAACTGATGGAAGCACGAATTAGAAAGGCGGACTGGTTCTTACGCACTGGCGACAGTCCCCTGCGCAATTTGGAATGATAAGTCGAATTATGGAGTGCGATGCCTCACAGGATGAAGTGTTGATGGGTAATATAATGCATGGGACTATTAGCATCGCGCAGGACGGCAGAGCAAGGCACCTGTGATCGCGTGTTAATACGAGAAAGGGAAAGGAGGCCGCGACGCCGCAGACTGTGGCCCTGAAGTTGCCTTTAAGGACCACAGCAAATACTAGGGATGTGTGCTTAGGCTACTTAGGATCTGGGATAAAAAAAAACCTTGCCACGAGAAAACAATTTCATAGTTTTTTCTTCAGTGATGGAGTGAAACATTATTTCAGAATTCAATGTAGTCTATGAATTTTTCTCAAACGCCATTTGATTACAAGATTTTCAGAAATCTACAGTGGGAATTAGAAGAATAGTAGCTGAAAAAAAACTTCAGTGAAGTTTTTATTGCGAAAGACAAGGAGTTTTATGACAGCAACAACGCAACTGCATGCGTTGCGTTGTTGCTGGCACGTTTTGCCAGTCGCCAATTCTTGAAACTATTGACTGAATCACTCACTTATTTCATTGAATTTTCCCACTAAAATTCACACTTGCACATTTAACTAGGCCCCGTTAAGATGGATATGGTGGTGGCGGTGGAGGTGGATACAGCGGAGATATAGTGACTACGGAAACGATACGATGAAGGTGGTGGTCACGGAGGGTTATCATATATAATCTTATAACCTAGCAACTGTAATGTTTTTATGTGTCTCTGAGGCTCGGCACTATAGCTAACACCAAATATTTACGTTGTTCTGAGGAAATGATATCGGAAATATCAATACAAGGGAGAAAGCATTTTAGGAGGCAAAATGCTACAATGCATTTGTGGTTGCCTTTTCGCATCGCTCTCGAAAAATTTCAAGCCTCTGCAACGTCGGGCTATCTATACTTCATGCGGCCGACCTGCTACTTGTGTTATTGCCAGGTTTCTATATCGGTTGAATCGGGAGTAACTTGCTGAGCAGAGATCTTATCATGCCGGGTTTATCTGCATGCCGGGTATATAGCAGGTCAACACAGTGAATTAACTTGCTATTCATCCTACCAACCTGAAACCTTCCTGGCAACAACGGGAACCTGATCGCATGAAACAATATCTCGCTATTTCGCGCTTCAGCTGGCGTGGCTTCTTTTCATTGAAGTTTATCAATAAATTTTAGTGAGGAAAATCAATCACGGATCTTCGCCGGTTCGCTGATTTCTGGGTACGTTGATTGGCATATTTAAACGGCCCAAGGAACTCGATCAGCAGTTCTATGAGAAAAGTTGGCGTACACTTGAAACAATCAAAAGTTACCAAACAAATACTAAAATAGTACTATCGGTTATTATTAGTAATTCATGTAAATTCCTATCCGCGGATTTCACCTATCGTGGCCCTGGTGTGGAATGGAACAGCCGAGATTACAGCAATCCATTACTGTTGAGGCATTACTGCAATCCATTACTGGTAAATCATTACTGTAATCCACTACTGTTGGGGCATTACCGCAATCCGTTACTGGTGAATCATTACTGCGATCCACTACCGGGGAAAGGATTACTGCAATCCATTACTGGTGAGGGATTACTAGAATTTGAAACAAGAACCAACACCAGGGGCTACGTACGGCTATAAACTAAAAACTGCGTTGTAACACGTCCATGCGACAGTAATTCTTCTCGCTTCGAGTCACCGACATGTGGAACAGCCTTCCTGACAGCATCGTTGACGCTCCGAGTATGAACGCCTTCAAGAACAGACTAGACCAGTGGTTCCCAAACTTTTTCAGGCTGGCGCCCCCTTTGGCTCCCTGGTGAATTTCTAGCGCCCCCCACAGACATAAGCCCCCTTTCCTGAAATCTAGTACGCTGCAATTTTAAAAGAGAAAGGTTAAACACAAATGTGTATTTCACAAATGGAACCCCATTTAGTGAACCAATATGTTTTTCAGCTGTTGTTAACTGTTTCAGCACTAGAAACCTATAACGTCTCGGGCGAATTTACGGCCAGACTCGTGGCCGGTTTCACGACCAATCTCCAAATTCAATTATCAAGTAATATCTCCCAAACTAAAAAACGCAGTTCTGTGAAACTTGGAACATGTATTCATCAGAACCTAACGGTGATGTTTAGCTCGTAATTTTTTTTAATTTCACCTTCGTTTTTGAGTTACGCGTATATTGCGAAACAGGCCGAAATTCGCAGTGATCAAAGAATTTCTTCCAAACTATTGGACAGATCTGAACGAAATTTTGAATATACATTCCTGATTCCAAAACGGTGATTTTTTAGCTTATAATTTTTTTTCAATTTTACCTTCGTTTTCACCGTCATTCTTGATTTCACAAATTACCCGTATCGCCGGGTAATTTGTCACTTAAATTCGCGGCGATCAAGAAATTTCTTCTAAACGACAAGAAAGAATTAAGCGAAACTTTGTATATAATTAACTAACAGGGACGACTGAAATAGGGCTACGGCAGCGCTCCCCGCAGAACATCCACAGCTTGTTGCGGTCTCGAACTCGCAACTCACTGCTACAATTCTGCTGAGCTTAACCGCCCGGCCTCTTCGCCGATTCTGACCAGAAACTGGCGCACAGAGCTGGGATCGAACCCGCGCCTCTCTGCTCCAATTGATCGTGGTACTCTGAACTTTAACCACTGGGCCACACCTAAGTTCATTAGTTTTAGATATTTTCCTTGATCATTGAATTAGGAAATTGGCCGTGAAACCGGCCGCGAGTCCGGCAGTTAATTTGTCTGAGACGTAAACCCAGGAGAGGTTAAAAATGGATCTGGGTGACAAAACCATCGCTGGGAGTCATGTGCTGCACGTGTTGTGTACAAATCGTCAAACGTTCGAACTTCTGACATAGACTTCGGACTACCGCCCCCCCCTACCGTCCTCTTCTTCCTTACCGCCCCCCAAAATCTTTCCACCGCCTCTAGGGGGCGATATTGCCCACTTTTGGAACCACTGGACTAGACGAAGCTATGCAGGAGCATATGTTTAGTCTTGAAATGCCTAGCACCTTACGAGCCTTGCTGTAAGTCCAGCAGCTATCTCAATCAATCGTCAGTTAAGGAAAGACCGGGCTCTAAAGGCCGGATCCATTGTGAATCAAGTCACGAAAAGTACAAGAATTGGCAACAGGCCATGGGCCTATTTATTCAGTGCCAACACTTCTATTCTATTCTAATCCATAACCGGTGAGAGATTGCCGCAATCCATTTACCTTTAATTCATTTTGCCATCAACAAACCATTTTCTGTGATACATTTTCTATTTCAATCAAAGAAAATGACATATTTACGGATAATTACATTTCTTTATGAACGAGTTATTAGTTCCGAATTTCAACTCATGTTCACACCATTGTTTGAACGGATTTTGGTGCGTTTTTCGTTATCATTATTATAAAGGCACAAAACTTCAAAGTTAGCCTGATATCAGCTTCTGTTGTCATCATAAAAAAGGCAGATATAGTTAATCTAATATCAGCTTAAGTTATCATCATTAAAAGGTACAATACATTAACATTATTAAGTTAGCTTAATTTCTTGCTGCTCTGTTTGAAGGGTTCGGGGTTCACGTGGTCAGAGAATTAGTGAGATTGTGGTGTTTCAAGGAATAAATAACTGGACACGAATCGTAAAACTTGTCTTTATTGGAAAACATGAATTTCGTTTGTTTCTGTTTCGATTGTTTTGTGTTTTGTTTTGTTCTCTTAGCCTGAAAAGAAAGAGGAAAAATCAGACATTAATAAGAGATATGCATGTTGGCGGTACTGAGGAAACTTGTATTTTGAATTGTCATTGGTGGTTTCATTGGTAGGAGCAAAATGTGGAAGCTTAACATTCTTATTCAAATCGTTAAATATCTCACAGAAATGTAAACTTTGACTTACAATTTTACCAGCTGCCACTGTAGCCACCACCGCCGCCGCCGCCGCCGCCATAGCCTCCTTTCTTGCCGCCCTGCTTGAAGCCTCCACCACCTTTTTTACCTCCGCCCTTCTTCCCGCCAACTTTCTTGACGCGTACCAGCAGGAGCTTCCCGCCATCGTAGCCGCCACCTTTGCCTTTGCCGCCTCCACCACCAAAGAAAAGACCTCCGCCTCCTCCACCATATCCACCACCACCTCCGTGGCCACCACCTCCACCGTATCCTCCTCCACCTCCGATCCTCCACCTCCGTGACCCCCTCCACCGTATCCTCCTCCACCTCCGTGGCCACCACCGTATCCTCCTCCACCTCCGTGGCCACCACCTCCACTGTATCCTCCTCCACCTCCGTGGCCACCACCTCCACCGTATCCTCCTCCAACTCCGTGGCTAACACCGCCACCATATCCACCACCTCCATGACCATCACCTCCACCATATCCACCACCTCCATCATGACTACCACCACAATATTCACCACTTCCGTGACCACCACCTCCACCGTATCCACCACCTCCGTGACTGCCACTTCCACCGTATCCACCTTCGTGGCTACCCCCTCCTCTGTATCCTCCGCCACCGCCGCCATGACCGCCACCTCCACCGTATCCACCTCCACCTATCCCATGACCGCCACCTTCAAAGCTTCCTCCTCCATATCCACCACCTCCCTTCCCGCCGTGATCCCCACTAACACCTCCACTGTATCCACCACCGCCACCATGATGCCCAACAACTCCATATCCACCTTCATCACTGCCATGGCCACCACCTCCCCCATATCCACCACCAATTGCTCCGTATCCACCGCCACCACCACCTCCTCCTTTGTGATGCATGAAATCATTATCATATCCTCCATCGTCATCAAAATGCCCTCCACCATGACCGCTGAAACCTTTTTCAAAGCCACCACCGACGTGACCTTTTCCACCGCCACCACTGAAGTGACCTTTTCCACCGCCACCACCGAAGTGACCTTTTCCACCACCACTGATGAAGTGACCTTTTCCACCGCCTCCATCAAAGTGACCTTTTCCACCGCCACCGCCGAAGTTACCTTTTCCACCACCACCACCAAAGTGACCTTTTCCACCGCCACCACCAAAGTGACCTTTTCCACCGCCACCGCCGAAGTTACCTTTTCCACCGCCACCACCAAAGTGACTACTGTGGCTTCACGGTAGGCCCTACTGTGGCTTCACGGTAGGCCCCACTGTGGCTTCACGGTAGGCCCCACTGTGGCTTCACGGTAGGCCTACCGTGGCTTCACTTCATCGAACGATTTCAAGAAATATTAACGAAAAAAACAAGTGCGGATCTTCGTAGGGTCGCGGGTTTCTAAAGAAGTCGCTTGGCAGGTTTAAACAGCCCGCGGAACGCGATCGTCAGTAAGAGTGTTGGACACATGCCTCATCTGCACCTCATCTTACAGTAGAGTTCTAAATATTGTATGACTTTGATATTGGCATCGGTGAATTTGCGCTAAACAGATTTTTGTTTAGTATAAACATTATGATATTCTCGAAACATTACCGCAATAATGAACTTAAAACAATACCAGCTGACTAACAATAAAATTAAAACAAAATATCGATTTTTGAAGTTACTCTGCACCATTGTTTTGACTCTTTAATTAAGTTCTTAATCGACTAACTGATATAAATTATTAATTCAAATTTCAATACAATCACCAGCAACTAAGCAGCGATTGCCCTGAGCTCATCGTTGGCATTCTGCCTGCAGAATGGTTAGTTGATACTTGATGTCGCAAAAAGTAACATTTGAGAACGTCTTCGGACGCAGTGAAAGTGGAATAAGAGGATTTAACAAGAAATTTGGCCACTTAGGGTTAGGAAGTAAAAAGCTGCAGTGCCGGCTGACGGCTTGGTTTCATCCATAAGATTTTTCGAGTAAAAAGTTAAAACTCGCATGCAGGCATTCAAAGCTCGGCTGAAGCTCAGACCATGCAGGCCTCAAGCTCCCAGTTTGCAACCAAGTTATTGATATTAATCTTGACAAGTGAGCTGTGCCAAATTACATATAGCATTTCAGTTACGATTCTTCGCAGCAGGGCCTCTTCATCTTGATGGCTAATAAGAAATGTCAAATTTCGGATCTGAATTAATTGTCAAATACTTTCATCTAACAAAAATTTGTAAGTAAACAAATTCTCCATTTGAAAATGACACAGAAAGATTCTTTTATTTCAATGAGAGAAGTTTAACGAACATTTTAAAAACAATTGAAAAGCCTAGACATACTCCTAAAATATTATCAAAATCACGAGACAAAGCTGAATCACAACACAAATCGGTCGCACATGAACTAGATCACTCCAAGAAACGCTTCTCCTTTCTCCTTATGCTCCTCATCATTGTTACTGTCCGCCAGGTTCAATGCTCGCTTTTTTTCTACAAAGTCTCGCTAGTTTCACTCGAGTGTCTCAACGCACCACAGTTTCGTATTTCACATATCGGTCACCATTATAGCCTACACAGACTGCACCACGAGTATCGGTAAACAACGCGGCTCAACACCTGCCGCGACTCACCGTTCTGCAGACCGCCATGTCGGCAGGTTCGGGATGCGCCAGCCACAATGACCAGCAGACCAGTCTGCACGGCGCTCTTATATGAGAACTTTAGCTTGCTCGTCTTCACGCGCAGATTCCTGTTGGAAATATTGAACATTTGCGTTAGCTGAGGGCATGGCTTGATTATATTCACGAATCGTTTTAATTTGTTATATGATATTTGACTATTTACGTCCGACTGAAGCTCTTCTTTACATGTTCCCACTTCGAATTAGAATGTAAAACAATATCACCGCTGTCTCGAAAGGACCCACGTTGTTTCTTTCTGTCTGTCATTAATCATATTGCGAAACAGGAGTGGTATTGCTTGAAGCAAAAGTCCTCGTAAGTTAAACTCGGCTTTCTATCACCCATGAATAGTTAAAATGGATGTGGAGAGTAAAATTTTTGCCTAATTCATGTCGCTTCTATTATTTAGTTTGTAATTTTTTTATAAAAGATAGTTTGACATTTAATCGAGTTGAATCTTTGAATATAGGACACAATTATTACTTAAGTGTTCTATTTAGAATAATTACATACATTTATTTACAAAAATGCTTGAAATGTCAAGCATCACGTTGATCAAGGTATCAAATTTACTCGGCACATACATAATGTATACAAACATTAATTCGCGTACACTCAAGTAAGCGAGAGGATCAATTTGTTACTGCACCGTTCAGCTGCGAAAAGACGAATTTAATGAAATGTAGTTTAAGGCGTTTAGACAACAAAAGCATTCGCAAGGTGCGAAGAGTCGAAGGGTTTGCTGGCCGATGAGTAGAGGCCGCGCGGCGTCGGCCAGAACGCAAGCACAGTTTCCCTCATCACCGGGTTTCTGCGGAAGATCCGCAACAGCTGCTGGACTGACGGCTCAGCCCTTTACTTTTACTTATTGTTGCGGTTGCCTTCTTTTTTCCGAGATATTTCTTAGCTGATTTTCAATCTGGGTCAATCGTAAATTAGATTACGTTTCTGGTTTTATGTTTTAGTATTATGATATTTTTAACTCGGACTGATCGCTTTAATTCGTAATTAAGACCACTATATACTGTATATCGTTTTGATTCCGTGCAAGAAGGTTCCATGAGGATACATCGAATGTGAATGCAAATAATTTAGTTGAAAAAGTAAACAAATAATGTGAAATGCGAATAAAATAATACTTGATCTAGTTTATTTTACTGTCATTCATAACAATTTATTTTAACATATTTAATTTATTGTTAATACAATTATTCGAGGGGTACACAGCCGTGATTAACGTACTCATTTTAACTGTAATCGAGGAACGTTTGTTCTCTTCAACTATAATGCTGTGTGCTCTCATTTAACCAGGCTCATATGTATAACTGAACGTTTTCCAGTAAGCATGCAAGGAGCCAGCATTTATGAGGAATGCGTTTGGACGTTGTAGAATAGGTGTGCGTCTGAGAATCATATTTTTTAAGACATCAATGCAAACGAAATTAATGCATATGGCTGCATAAATTAATACTTTTTCCCCGACAAATAGCCTCATACATTTTTTAAACCAGTTTAAATCCGTAGAGTGCACTCATCAAAGAATTCGAACATTTTCGGGAGTTTTAGCCAACTTTTGGCAATAACCAATGTACAGTTGTATGTATCCCTCGAAAACGAACGGGTGGTCTCATGTATCGTCCACTACATTACCGTGACTGTCAGTGGCGGGAACTGAAATAGAAAATCAACAATTTCGGGCGCATTCCTATTCAGCTCTTTGCATGCATCTCAGACTTTATAGCAAATTTTGCAAAAAAATTAGTTCCTCGGCGCAACCGTTAGAGTATAAATCATTTTAGCATGAAAGGGTTACCAATTTTTTACACCTTTGAATCCTTCGGAAATAATTCCTGCAAATGAAATCTAATGGAAAATACCAGATTGTTTTTTTATATCTTACATGTGTCATTGCATTTTGGGTGTAAATCCCACACTCTCTACTTTCATAGTTTCGCTTAAATTGTTCGGTTTCGGTGCGCCAACCATTCACATCCGAATATCGGCAAAAAAAATTAATTATTCATTATTGTAATTATTGAATTGACTCGAGTGTCAGGACCAATTTCAAACACTTGTTACTTCGACGCCAACTTTGCTTCCATAATCAAGATGTCGAGCGACTTAAGTTGGGAGTGGACAAATGTAGTGGAAGTAATATTATTTAATGCATGTGGTAGAAAAAAAAAGATTTATAAATAAAATTTATCCTGCCACCTGCCGTTTATCCTGCCACCTGAGACAAGCACGCAACCAGACCAGGTCTCAAAGCATCACAGTAGGCGCCGTTGAAATCAATAGGCACCGTGACACTCTCGACAACGTCCTCGTGATACTCGATCTCAACGAGACTGTCACTTGCACTGTGCTGGAGGAACCCACCAGCATCGTCATCCTGCGATGGCCCGACATAATCCGACCGGCGATAGCTGAAGCACTTCTCTACAGATTGGACTCAATCTATCCATCTAATAACTACCTGATTTTCTGTGCTTCGAGATAGTTTTGGAATTATTTTCACGGTTCCAAATGTAACCTATTTACTTTTTGTAACCTATTTACTTGTATCATGACTTATTTCCATCAAAATTTCTGTA